ACAGGTGTTAAAATAAGTGTATCTGCAGACGACTGGCTCCAAATTCTCCCCTTGATACCAAAGAGTTGGTTTGATCTGTAGCACTTTTCTTTCTGGGATGCAATGAGAGTTTTTACCATAAAAATAAAAGCTCCCGTACTTGAGTTCATCTCTAAGAAATCAGTTATTCATTATATAAACGTGAAAACGAATGACTTCTCTCTTCTCCCTCTGCAAAGCTCTGTCAGAAGACTCTTTATTTACCCATTAGGGAATCATTCAGTTGCTGTTATACACGCTACAATACGAACATGCACGGGACATGCACACATTAAGTCTGAATACATGTATATACATGTACAAACACATCGATGCATTTTTCATTTGTTGTTATCAGCGCCCACAATCTCTTATTTTCAAATGTGTAGAAATCATAATGTTAGTGTTAGAGAAATGTCACCGGTCGGTCAGCAGTTTGAGCTTCAATCTCAGGATCCATGTATCTGTGATCCTCTCCAGAATGGAAGTAGTCATCACATACAGAGCATCAACTAGTTCCTGAACAGTGTCCTTCACATGCTGATATCCAAGAGAGGGAGTTACACAGTCACAAGATGGAGGAATAGAAAGCAGTATTCAATGTTTACTTCAGATTAGCTCCACGTCAGAAATGAGCATGCTTGTCATATGTCTATCTCCATAGAGGCTGAATCATCATGTTAATCACATAGCTATCATATGCCTCAAACAGTCCTGATGCTCTTCTAGGTAATCATACATCCTGTCATGTACACAGCTACAGTTGGGATACCTTTGTTATCATGTTACTCTCATGTTGGAAGAGGACATTCAGGATTCTCCCAACAGTTATAAACTAATGTAAGACATTTGCAGCAGTTAGCCACCAGAGAAGATACTCTGGTCAATAAAAGGTGGCTGATTAGAAAGGACTATCGTGCTTTGAGACAGTCCTCCTCAGTGTTTGACCCTGCGTTTCTGTTTCCTGCAGCTATGAAAACAAGTTTGTGAAGTTCTTCAAGGTTAAATCCGACCTTCCTCCGGGGATGAGTGCGCCTGAGTCTCAGGAGCAGAAACCCCCGGGCGACGGCGACACCGCGGGTCTCTCCAAGGCGGCGAAACGCAACATGAAGCGCAAAGAAAAACGAAAACAACAGCAGGAAGACGGAGACGGAGACGGAGACGTGGATTCTGTGAGCGACGCCGTGGAAAACGTCTCCATCTCAGAGGACGCTAACGAGAAGACGCCGACGTCTAAATCTAATCCTCCTAATCCGCCCGACAACAGCGGCGCCTCAGCGGAGAGGGCGAAGAAGCTGAAAAACCTGAAGAAGAAACTGCGTCAGGCGGAGGACCTGCAGCAGAAAGTGGACTCGGGAGAAATCGACGAGGTGACCAAGGACCAGAAGGAGAAACTGTCCCGAGTGGAAACCCTACGAGACGAGATCCTGCAGCTGGAGCGGGAGTCCTGAAACAGAAACACACAAAGACTGAACATAACAAAAGTGAGAGACTGGGAAACATTATTCTGTCTGATCATGAACTGGGAGTGACGTCCGCTCGCTCCGTTATAAATGTGTTTTTAAAAGCTTCACGGGGAAACCCTCTGTTTGCCCGTCTCACTCCATACGGTCACTGCAGGTATTAAGTGTTTATCTCATTCTGATTTTCCAGAGCTGGAGAATTCTTTTGGACGGCTCGAACACATTGTTGGAGATTTGGGGATTTTTTGCATATTTTTCTATTGTCAACAAACGTCATATAAAAACCAAAACCATTATTAATAAATCCTACTGACGAGTTCATCAGTTTAATCAATAAACACATTTGATGTGGTTTGTTTTTTTAAAGCTGTTTCCTGAAAAAATATATACTGATATACACCTGAACATGAGCGGGAGAGGACTCTTTAAAGTAGAGACACTACATACTGATATACACCTGAACATGAGCAGGAGAGGACTCTTTAAAGTAGAGACACTACATACTGATATGCACCTGAACATGAGCAGGAGAGGACTCTTTAAAGTAGAGACACTACATACTGATATACACCTGAACATGAGCAGGAGAGGACTCTTTAAAGTAGAGACACTACATACTGATATGCACCTGAACATGAGCAGGAGAGGACTCTTTAAAGTAGAGACACTACATACTGATATACACCTGAACATGAGCAGGAGAGGACTCTTTAAAGTAGAGACACTACATACTGATATACACCTGAACATCAGCAGGAGAGGACTCTTTAAAGTAGAGACACTACATACTGATATACACCTGAACATCAGCAGGAGAGGACTCTTTAAAGTAGAGACACTACATACTGATATACACCTGAACATCAGCAGGAGAGGACTCTTTAAAGTAGAGACACTACATACTGATATACACCTGAACATCAGCAGGAGAGGACTCTTTAAAGTAGAGACACTACATACTGATATACACCTGAACATGAGCAGGAGAGGACTCTTTAAAGTAGAGACACTACATACTGATATACACCTGAACATCAGCAGGAGAGGACTCTTTAAAGTAGACACTACATACTGATATACACCTGAACATGAGCAGGAGAGGACTCTTTAAAGTAGAGACACTACATACTGATATACACCTGAACATCAGCAGGAGAGGACTCTTTAAAGTAGAGACACTACATACTGATATACACCTGAATATCAGCAGGAGAGGACTCTTTAAAGTAGAGACACTACATACTGATATACACCTGAACATCAGCAGGAGAGGACTCTTTAAAGTAGAGACACTACATACTGATATACACCTGAACATGAGCAGGAGAGGACTCTTTAAAGTAGAGACACTACATACTGATATACACCTGAACATGAGCGGGAGAGGACTCTTTAAAGTAGAGACACTACATACTGATATACACCTGAACATGAGCAGGAGAGAACTCTTTAAAGTAGAGACACTACATACTGATATACACCTGAACATCAGCAGGAGAGAACTCTTTAAAGTAGAGACACTACATACTGATATACACCTGAACATCAGCAGGAGAGGACTCTTTAAAGTAGAGACACTACATACTGATATACACCTGAACATCAGCAGGAGAGGACTCTTTAAAGTAGAGACACTACATACTGATATGCACCTGAACATCAGCAGGAGAGGACTCTTTAAAGTAGAGACACTGCATACTGATATACACCTGAACATCAGCAGGAGAGGACTCTTTAAAGTAGAGACACTACATACTGATATGCACCTGAACATCAGCAGGAGAGGACTCTTTAAAGTAGAGACACTACATACTGATATGCACCTGAACATGAGCAGGAGAGGACTCTTTAAAGTAGAGACACTACATACTGATATACACCTGAACATCAGCGGGAGAGAACTCTTTAAAGTAGAGACACTACATACTGATATACACCTGAACATGAGCAGGAGAGGACTCTTTAAAGTAGAGACACTACATACTGATATGCACCTGAACATGAGCAGGAGAGGACTCTTTAAAGTAGAGACACTACATACTGATATACACCTGAACATCAGCAGGAGAGGACTCTTTAAAGTAGAGACACTACATACTGATATACACCTGAACATGAGCAGGAGAGGACTCTTTAAAGTAGAGACACTACATACTGATATACACCTGAACATCAGCAGGAGAGGACTCTTTAAAGTAGAGACACTACATACTGATATACACCTGAACATCAGCAGGAGAGGACTCTTTAAAGTAGAGACACTACATACTGATATACACCTGAACATCAGCAGGAGAGGACTCTTTAAAGTAGAGACACTACATACTGATATACACCTGAACATCAGCAGGAGAGGACTCTTTAAAGTAGAGACACTACATACTGATATACACCTGAACATCAGCAGGAGAGGACTCTTTAAAGTAGAGACACTACATACTGATATACACCTGAACATCAGCAGGAGAGGACTCTTTAAAGTAGAGACACTACATACTGATATACACCTGAACATCAGCAGGAGAGGACTCTTTAAAGTAGAGACACTACATACTGATATACACCTGAACATCAGCAGGAGAGGACTCTTTAAAGTAGAGACACTACATACTGATATACACCTGAACATCAGCAGGAGAGGACTCTTTAAAGTAGAGACACTACATACTGATATACACCTGAACATGAGCAGGAGAGGACTCTTTAAAGTAGAGACACTACATACTGATATACACCTGAACATCAGCAGGAGAGGACTCTTTAAAGTAGAGACACTACATACTGATATACACCTGAACATCAGCAGGAGAGGACTCTTTAAAGTAGAGACACTACATACTGATATACACCTGAACATCAGCAGGAGAGGACTCTTTAAAGTAGAAGAATCAGGGGTTAACATTGAACTGGTTGGATTTAGAAAGTGTCTGAGTCTCAGTTGTTTCTCTGAATGAACAGAGAGGCGTTTCGTCTCTGCAGGATTCCACGATGGTCTCCGGGGGCCTCATTGTTTTTCCTCCCTATGTTGTGAACATTATAATTATCCGTTGTGTCCCGGAGGAAGCGTGGTGAGTTGTTTTCCTCGGGGATCTGTAACCATGCGTCGCAAATCATAAGCGAATCACTTGAACTAAAATCATCTGGGCACTAATTACCCTACAAAGTATAAATAAAGAAAGATGGGGTTATCTCCCATTATATGACATTATTGGTTATAAAACAATCCTCTTTATTAGACGGTGTGCAGATACTTCCCTGCTTCCTTTGACCTAAACACAGAGACTCGGATGTTGTTCTGAACCTCTGTAAACGGTTTGATGTGCTGGTGTCAGGAGGCGTTACTGAGTGTGAAATATGTTTTCTGTTTTTCGCACATCACATTCCTTGTAAAGGTTTATGATGTGGTTTCGAGCAGACACTATAAAAACTGAATGTCTAAACTGAAGCACACTCAGGGAGGACGAGGATCAGAGGAGGGAGAACTGGTTTATTATAGTTATTATTATTAATGATAAAGTGATGGGAAACATGGAGTTCCTGCTGGAGCTGATGGTGCTTCTGGTTCTGATGACCACAGCTGCTTCTGGACTGAGAGCAGACGACTTCAGTGGAGCCGTGGTGAGAACACTCAGGGATGAGAGGCGGACATTTTAATATAATGAGACGTTTATCCTGCTAAAAAAACACAGGTTTTGGTTCAATATTTATTGGAAGCAAAGCTTAGCTGGCAGCTATTCTCTCAAATTCATTTATTACAAAATGTACTTGATTGCTAATCAATTAGATATTCTTGATTATTATTTTTATGTTTTAGATGTCGGGGTAGTGGGATTGGATAAAAAGCATTATTACTAATGCTCTTTTTGTTTTTTAAGTAACTTCTTTAAGGATAATTATTTAACAAATAAAGATTTACTTAAATGACAATGTTTAATGCCAGACTTGGAGTATTTTGTATTCAACCAAATGCTTTCCCACCACTTGAATTCTCATAGTTGTGTTTTTCTTCAGGTGTATTTAAAGAAGTACGGCTACCTGAACGCCCCGCCGCCCAGTGAAGGAAGGCGCCCTCCGCCTCAGGAGATGAAGGCCGCCCTGAGGTGACTTTACTCTCACATTTTAATTCTCTTAATGGTAGTGTACATGTTTGATTGTTGACACTAAACGTCTGTGTGTGTCAGAGTGTTTCAGAAAGCCACTCAGCTGCAGGTTTCAGGCAGAGTGGACGCAGCGACGCTGAGGATGATGAGGAAACCTCGCTGTGGAGAGGAAGATTCCTTCAGGTTCCACAGATACAGAGTCCTGGGTAACAATTCGTCTCACTATCTGAGTTAAAGCAGAATTACACTATTAATCAACAGTGATGGAGAGTAACATTTTGACTTTGTGAGATACCTGAGTATTCATTTCATGCTACTTCATTGTACTCCACAAAGACACACTAACTGACCACAAAGAGACACAAAAGAGACACAAAGAGACACACAATGACCTCAAAGACACACAAAATGACCAGAAATCTCACTGGTCCCCGGCTTGAGCTTCAATCTCAGGATCCATGTATTTGTGATCCTCTCCAGAATGGAAGGAGTCAAAATCTAAAAAATCTGACTTTTTCTAAAAAATCTAAAAAATCTGACTTTTTCTCAAAATCTCCAAAATCTGACTTTTTCTCAAAATCTCCAAAATCTGACTTTTTCTCAAAATCTCCAAAATCTGACTTTTTCTCAAAAATCTGACTTTTACACACAAATCTAAAAAATGCTGACTTTTCTCAAAAAATATGACTTTTTCTCAAAAATCTAATTTTTTTTGACTTTTTCGCAAAACATTTGACTTTTTCTCAAAAATCTCAAAACATTTGACTTTTTCGCAAAAATCTCCAAAAAATTGACTTTTTCACAACAATCTCCAAAAATTTGACTTTTTCTCAAAATTCTGACTTTTTCTCAAAATCTCAAAATTCTGACTTTTTCTCAAAATCTCAAAATTCTGACTTTTTCTCAAAAATCTCAAAATTCAGATTTTTTCTCAAAAATCTCAAAATTCTGACTTTTTCTCAAAAATCTCAAAATTCTGACTTTTTCTGAATACTTAAAAATGTTAATAATCCCTTGTCTCCGGCTTGAGCTTCAATCTCAGGATCCATGTATCTGTGATCCTCTCCAGAATGGAAGGAGTCATCACATACAGAGCATCAACTAGTTCCTGAACAGTGTCCTTCACATGCTGATATCCAAGAGAGGGAGTTACACAGTCACAAGATGGAGGAATAGAAAGCAGTATTCAATGTTTACTTCAGATTAGCTCCACGTCAGAAATGAGCATGCTTGTCATATGTCTATCTCCATAGAGGCTGAATCATCATGTTAATCACATAGCTATCATATGCCTCAAACAGTCCTGATGCTCTTCTAGGTAATCACACATCCTGTCATGTTCACAGCTACAGTTGGGATACCTTTGTTATCATGTTACTCTCATGTTGGAAGAGGACATTCAGGATTTTCTGTTGTCTCCTGGTTGCAGGACACTGGCGTAAGAAGATGCTGACGTACCGGATCTTAAACTTCACCCCGCACCTCGGGCAGGGGAAGACTCGGCAGGCGATCAGCGCTGCGTTCAGGTACTGGAGCGACGTCTCCCCGCTGAAGTTCAGAGAGACGCAGACAGGAAGGGCCGACATCAAGATCTCCTTCCACCGGAAAGACAAGAGCTGCCCCGTGCCCTTCGATGGGAGAGGTACCACACACGGTCTTTAAATCAACTGTGGTGTTTACAACTTGGACCCTGTCTGTTCATGTTGTTGTGGGACTTATGAGGACTTGTAATGTGTCTCCATTGAGTGAGAGTTTCCACAGAATTACCACAAATAGACAATGAGAAAAAGAATACTCAAAATGACCATGAAGAGACACAGATTACACCCGTTTTGTTTCCAGGTCAAGTCCTGGCCCACGCCGACGCCCCCGAGTCGGGCATGGTTCACTTCGACAGCGACGAGGTTTGGACGGAGGGCAAGAGCTCGGGGTCCAACCTGAGGATCGTGGCTGCCCATGAGGTCGGCCACGCTCTGGGTCTGGGTCACTCGCAGCACTACAGCGCTGTGATGGGCCCGGTCTACAGCGGGTACCGGGCCCACTTCAAACTGCACCCCGACGACATCCAGGGCATCCAGGCTCTGTACGGTAATATCAAAAATAAGTGTTTTTCATAATATTTTTTGCAGAATTTGTTTTATACAGATTTCATTTTTATACAAAGTTTTTATGTCCTAATACATTTTCTTCCATATTTTAATTTAGCATATTTTTAGCATAATATTATATTTTATTATAATGTTATGTTCGTTGTGAAGCACTTTGGCAAACCCTCTGTTTTTAAAATGTGCTATAGAAATAAAGTGGATTGGATTAAATCTTTATTAATTTTTGTATATATATTTATATGTCCTAATTAATTATTTTCCATATTTTAATTTAGCATATTTTTGTATATTTTCTTCGATGCAGCTTTCATTTTGTTCATATATTATGTTCTATTTTGTTTTGTATATTTTAATTGTCAATATATATTTTAAAAGGTTTCTATCAAAATGTTTCTTTTATGCATTTTTTATTTTTATTTATTTCATATAATATGTCCTAATGTCCTTAAATTCTTTCATATTTTCATTTTAATACATTTCATTTTTAATTGTATTTCCTCTTCTCTTTGAGTGGTGTCAGTCTCTGTCGTGCATCTACTTTTTTAAGCAGAAATAATAAAACGTGTGTTTTTTATTTATATTTTCAGGGAAGCCGGAGAAGCCCCCTCCCAAAAAGAGTCCTTCGGCTCCAGGAGTCGCTCCGGACCCCTGTGGTTCTCCTGTGGATGCTGTGATGTTGGGTACAAACACTTTAATACACTTTAGTTATAACCACTCAGGGCCGCCCCTGGCCAACTTGTGGCCCCACGCAAAGTTATATGATGAGGCCCTCTGTGTCACGAGCGTCGATGCTAGTGGAGCCTCGCAGCGGCAAAACTGTGGTGCGCGTACACTGTATAGTAGGTGCGCCGCATTTGCGCTTCAGATGAGGCTCCCTCCGCAAAAATGAAGCACCCTCCGCAAGCTGAGGCCCCTTCCGCGAGGTGAGGCCCCCTCCGCGAGGTGAGGCCCCTTCCGCGAGGTGAGGCCCCCTCCGCGAGGTGAGGCCCCCTCCGCAAGCTGAGGCCCCCTCCGTGAGGTGAGGCCCCACGCAGTCTGCGTGATCGGCCTGTAGGGAGGGGCGGCCCTGTATCCACTCACAGCTGGTATTTCAACTCAGTCTCACAAAACAACGTGTAATAGCGACGTTTGTCCACAGGGCAAAACGTAGTATATTCACAAATAAGCCTCTCAAGACGTGACATGGATACAATATTGTTGTCCTATTAATTTCTAATGACCAGTGTCCGTGTCACGTGATCGCAAACTTTACCAGCGTGAGAGAAAAAAAATATGGCAGACACCCGATTTATTTTTAGTGGAACATCCTTAATTGTCGGATAGTTTGGCGTTAAAATGCTTTTTAATTACATTTCTAGCGAGACGTTTATATTGTACTTTTAGAATCTGCGTCCAGTGGATCTACAGTTTGATAGATATTACCACGATTATTTGAGCTCCATGTTTTTTTTTACAAAATATTGTATCCATGTCTCGTCTTGAGAGGGTTATCTGTGAATGTACTACGTTTTTTTACAATTTTTCTTGTTATTTCATATCTATCTTTATGTAAATCTTATATTCATATTTATGGTTTACATTTATGATGCATAATATTTTTATTTAATTGAATATTTTATTGCATTTTACTTAATTGTTCTGTCTTTATACTATATCATATTTTCAAATGTTATCTTTTATTGCATTTTTTTACTTTAACATCTTTAATGTTAAAGGGGACCTATCATGCAAAATGCACTTTTTGATGTATTTTATACATAATTATTACATGGCTTAGTTGAATACTCGATTCTGATTGGTCAATTCAGAACACGTGACACGTTGTTAATCCAGAACAGACAGACCGCTGTCAAGGATTTATTGACCGTTGTTAAGGACGCTCACATCTGCACAAACAAGTCCGGTCGATTGAACTGTATGCAGTTTGGCCGAAAAGCAAACTGCATGCAGTTTGCTTTTCTAACTGACAAGACAAGAGCGACAAGGAAACAGCGGAGAAGTAACGGGCAGAAACCCTCCTTTTTACGCAGCAGTCCAGACATAGACATCAAACGGCGACCCATATTCAGTTGTCAGTTACTTTGGCATTAGGGCAGGGATATCTAGATACTTTCCAAGGTTTGACATAATGAATTGTGCTACTTTTAAAGCAAGCAACGATGTTTTCAAATCTGTAATCAAAAAGCTCCGCCTTCCTGCCGTTGCTACATTTTTCAAACGGTAACAACGGACTATTTTCCTTAGCGGATGCATGTCAATTTAAATCAATACATACAACTATTTTTTAAATCAATAAAATCATTTTCTAAATACATAAAAGCATTTCAATTAATATTGGGGGTCATATCATTACTTTGTTGAGAATGTGGCCATGTAATAAGCGGGATAATGTGCAGCGACGCGGTCATTATGGGGAAAAGAACACCGACAGGCTGATCAGGAGCCCGACGCGAAGCGGAGGGATCTAGATCGGCATGAAGGTGTTCTTTTCCCCATAATGACCGCGTCGCTGCACATTATCCCTTACATATGTGTCCCCGGTGTGTCGGGGAACTCACGCAGCGTCAGAAAATAAAACCGTCTCTCTTTTCCTCCGTACCCACATCCCTAAAAACGGGGGTACAACGAGCGGATACAGATTTGCTGCCGATATGACGTAATTTCAGATGGTGGACCCACAGAGAGTTGCTATCAGAAACAATGCCTGACGTGTTTTGGATGTAATCTCGTCTGTGTTTACATTAGCAAGCCTCGCTAACACTCAGAGCTAACCTGTACTGGAGAGCACATGTGTTTAAAAAGCAGGAAATAAATAAAGGAACTCGCCTTGTGATAAACCCGCAAGAGAAAAAGCATCTGAGCTCCATGCTGTTTCAGAAATAATCCTTGATGTGGTTTAGAACAGGATGGCGTTTTATCACAGCAGAATTTAATTTTATCTCCGGTAGAATTTTGATCAGGCATTAGCTCCGCCTCCTCTTTTAATTTTTTCAATCTAAGGACCCAGAATCCATGTTTCTCTAACAGCTGGAATAGAGGGATATGAGGGATTTCTAAAATGCATCATCTGTTTGTATTTTGAGCAAAACACTTCATAGACATGTTTTTATATATTTGTATATGTCTGAGACCTACAAATAGCATGATAGGTGCACTTTAACGTTTTTTTGCACATTTGTATTCAATATCTTATTAATATATTGCTTTAACTTAATTTGCTGTATTTTTAGTATTCATTCTTTTACATTAATATCTCATGATTACATAAATAATTTTTATATATTTTTTTTTGCACATTTTTCTTTCTACTAAACTTCATGACTTGGTGCTATCCACTGTGTGCCTTTAGGCCCCCAGCAGAAGACCTTTGTGTTCAAGGGGGGGTTCGTGTGGACGGTCTCCAGATCCGGCCTCGACCCCCCCCGCCTGACCTCTGACCTCTGGAGAGAGCTGCCGGGGGGGCTGAGTGCCGCCGTGACCTCACAGAGGAGCGGGAAGACATACTTCCTCAAAGGTGCACTCAGGAAATTACAAGTTATAATTAACAGTAATATTATTTATTAAGACATAATTTAACTGCATTGTATAAATATTATCATTTTATTTAATTGTATCTATATCTAATACATTTTATAATTTATTAATACTAATACTTTATAGTTTATTAATACTAATACTTTATAGTTTATTAATCCCACATCGGGAAATGTTTTCGTTGCAGCCACATTAAAACAAAGTATTGCACACAGGGCCGTTTCCTATAGGCGGACTGTGCAGATGCATAGGGCCCCCTGTGGCCACTAGGGGGCGCCCAAGCTGAACGTTCAGGTTCAGCCTCAATATATTTGGGGAGAATTGAAATGAGCCGTCTTTATGTGTAGACAGCCGAGCCCCTCCTGTGTTCGGTGAAGCATTATATGCTTAACAATCAGATGTAGGATATAAACACAACTAAACTGCAACGATAGCAAAGCTGTGGCTTGTGTTTGTGGGGATCAATAAAGTCCAAATCATCGTTGGGCTGTCAGCCAATGAGTGACGTCTGAGGAAGATGAGAAATGTAAATCATACATCGTTGAGAAAATGCTGCATCTCTTGCATGTATTGACGTAGAGGAGCCTTGTTGTTTACCTTTTTAATATCATTTTGAGTAACTTTCAATCGCTTGGTTTTCGTGAAATCAGCCTGTTTTCCTCATAAAGTGTAACAGATTGATGCGTCTCCACAGATCATCTTAAAGGCTTCAGAACCCCCCATTGTAGTTAGAAAACTGTAAAAACTAGGGCCCCCAAACAGCTAGAAACGGCTCTGATTGCACATAATTAGGACTAACAAAAAAGGGTAGAAAATAAACAATAATCGATATAAACGTCTCTAAATACGAGTTATGTTGCTGCTCATCAGAGAATAGAGTCTGGAGGTACTCGGGCTTCAAACTGGACCACGGCTTCCCCAGAAAGCTGTCCAACATCCCGGCGAACATCGACGCTGCCTTCTACCTCAGCAAGAGCAAGAAACTCATCTTCATCAAAGTGAGTGAAGAGCAAAGGACGTAGGAATATATACATATTAGGAAAATAAGTAGAGACGTTGTCAACCAATTAATTACTCAAAAAAAGGGAATAAATATTCTGCTATTTTTATTCGAAGGCCTACTTTTTAATCCTTTATTATTATACTTTACAGTTATTTATTAGTACTTCTTAAGAATTATTATTATTATTATCATTATACTAAACAAAGATATTGGTTATTAGCAGCCCTAGCTGGATTTGACTCCCAGTGACACTGTGTTTCGTCCCAGGGCTCAGGATACTGGCAGTGGGATGAAACCAGCACCTCCGGCTTCTCCTCGTACCCCCGGCCGTTGTCCCATCTGTTCCCCGGCGCTCCCGGCGCTCCCGACGCCGCCCTCGCCTCCTCCGACGGGAACATCCTTCTATTCAAAGGCTCGCAGGTCTGGAGCGTGAAGCTGCAGAAACGCGTGGAGAAACCTCGAAGCCTCGCAGCCGATTGGCTGAAGTGTGACGACTGAAACACACCTCATCACACACAGAGAGAGATTTATTATAGAGAGGCGAAGTCACGCCCATCTACTTCCGACCCATGGGACCTTATTTAGGAAAAAGTATGTATTGAAGTCAATGGAGAGAGAAAGATTATCTTTCGATCCCGTTTGAATTGTGCCACGAATTACACATATGATGTTCGTCAATCTTAAAAAATAATTTCCATGTAAAAAAAGTCAGTTTGTCGTAAAACTGTTGAAATATAAGACTATGAAAAATACGCAACTAGAAAGACTACAAATCCCAGAGTAAGTGAGCACGTTAGTTAGCATTACAGCCTTAGCCTTGTCATTTTTATTAGCCTTAACATGAAGTATCATTAAGTAACCCAAAATGTTAAACAGTAGAGTAGTAGTCATATTTCGTGAACCCTTTGAAGAGTACTGTCACACCGGTGTGATCATTCTATAATACACCTTTAAGCCCGGATGCCCCCGAGGGAGACATGCTAACGCTACATTAGCATCGGTGATCTTTTCTACGTCATGCTATCTGCACAAATGGTTGACATTGAACATTAAAAAGATCAGGCAGTTCAGGGAGAATCAAAGGAAGGCAGGCAGGCAGCTTTGCATGACTTTCTTCAGGACGTGTTTCATTGTGGTGATAGTGAGGGTAGTCAATCCCTTGTTGTTTGGCAAGACAGTAGTGACGGCCATCTTGGTGACGTGTGTTGTTGTGCGAGATCAGAGATGTAGTTCATTGAGCGGTTTCACACAAAAAAGTCTTACTTCAAAGTTTTACTTGCAAAATGTTCTTTTAAATTGGCAAACTTCATGTGTAATTCGTGGCACAATTCAAACGGGATCAAAAGATAACTTTTCTCTCGCCATTGACTTCAATACATAATCTTTCTGAAATAAGCTCCTCCGGAAAGGGAGGGACTTCGCCTCTCTATATTGATCAATGTGTGAGGAGGAAAAGGATTGTTTTAAGTCTGCAGCAAATCAACACTGTACATTTTGGTGTGATGAGTCCCTTTGTAAATATTATTTTAAAAAGGCCCCGCTTGTTGTTTTTTGAGTTCTGCAAACCAATATTTATATAAAACATGACTTCAAAAACTGGACAATCAAGCTGTCGTTTTTTCTGTCCAATCATTTTTTATTTTACAACATTTCACATTTCTCTTTCTCTTCAAACTCATACTTTAAAAATACATCTCAGTCTCATCACATTGACTTTCTCTGCATCTTTCATGTACTTAAAGTAGAAGTACTCAGATCTTGTACTTGAGTAAAAGTAGAAGTACTCAGATCTTGTACTTGAGTAAAAGTAGAAGTACTCAGATCTTGTACTTGAGTAAAAGTAGAAATACTCAGATCTGGTACTTGAGTAAAAGTAGAAGTACTCAGATCTTGTACCTGAGTAAAAGTAGAAGTACTCAGATCTTGTTCTTGAGTAAAAGTAGAAGTACTCAGATCTTGAACTTGAGTAAAAGTAGAAGTACTCAGATCTTGTACTTGAGTAAAAGTAGAAGTACTCAGATCTTGTACTTGAGTAAAAGTAGAAGTACTCAGATCTTGTACTTGAGTAAAAGTAGAAGTACTCAGATCTTGTACTTGAGTAAAAGTAGAAGTACTCAGATCTTGTACTTGAGTAAAAGTAGAAGTACTCAGATCTTGTACTTGAGTAAAAGTAGAAGTACTCAGATCTTGTACTTGAGTAAAAGTAGAAGTACTCAGATCTTGTACTTGAGTAAAAGTAGAAGTACTCAGATCTTGTACTTGAGTAAAAGTAGAAGTACTCAGATCTTGTACTTGAGTAAAAGTAGAAATACTCAGATCTTGTACTTGAGTAAAAGTAGAAGTACTCAGATCTTGTACCTGAGTAAAAGTAGAAGTACTCAGATCTTGTTCTTGAGTAGAAGTACTCAGATCTTGTTCTTGAGTAAAAGTATAAGTACTCAGATCTTGTACTTGAGTAAAAGTAGAAGTACCAGAGTGTAGGAATACTCTGTTTCAGTAAAAGTCCTGCATTCAAAATGTTCCTCAAGTGAAAGTAGAAAAGTATTCTCATCAAAATATAGTTAAAGTAGCGACAGTAAAAGTAGTCATTGTGCAGATTGGTCCATTTCAGAATAATATATATGATATGTTTTATAATGATTGATCATTAAAGTGTTCTCAAAGCTGGTAAAGGTGCAGCTAGTTTGAATGACTTTGTATACTGCAGGGTAGCTTGTGGATTTACTCCAGGTGGAACTAAAGTCTGATTTAACACTTGATTATATTTCACATCATTCATCCACATCTGTGAAGTAACTGAAGGTATTAATACATGTAGTGGAGTAAAAGTACACCATATACCTCTGAACTGTAGTGGAGTAGAAGTACACAGTAGGATAGGATGGAAATACTCAAGTAAACTACAAGTATCTCAAAAAGTAAATGTACTTAGTTACTTCCCACCTCACATCCAAAAGGCTCTTGCATCCTTCAAAAAGCCGTCAAACTCACTTTTGCTTTCAATCTCTATTCATCATCCCACATTGTACGTTCCTTTGGATCAGGACTTGTGTTTTTGTTGTTCTGATTGTATGTAAAGCGTCTTTGAGCAGTGGGAAAAGTGCCATACAAATCAAATGATGACTATAAAGGGTACATGCAGATTATTGCTGCCTGTACAGAAAACATCTCCGACTAGAAGCAAACTATTACAGAAGAAGTGGATTCAGGGCGGCAGTGGAAACGGTTTCCTGTCTTCTCAGTAAATAACGTAATCGTGCATGTTGCAGACATTGGAAGGCGTGTTTCTTCCCACCGTGTAGACCGGCGTGGCGGCGGAGGTCAGAGACACCATGGACCCCGTCTCAAAGTCAAAGTCGATCAGAGTGTGTGCTGCAGAGACGAGGCTTCTGCTGGAGGAAGAGGAGGAGGAAGAGGAAGCTGTTCCCTGCTGACGCTCCTGCAGACACTGCAGATAACTCTGAGACAGAAACACAGGATCAGGGTTATTATCATGCAATGAGAGGGTGAAGGAATGAGTCCGAAAAGAGTCAGCCTTTCATCACTTCCTGTCCCCTCTTCAATGGTTTTCTTAATGTGTTTTTATCCTGAAAAAAGGTCTGTGGTTAACACAAGCTGAAGAGATTTTAACTTTTTGTTCTTCGACATAAAATACGTCAGTAAATACCCCATTGGTGAATTTAAAAACGGTGGTTGCTAACAAGAGTCTAAATGAGACGACTAAACCTCATCACGCCCAACATTAGCCGCCTTTAGCTTAGCGGCGGTGACGTGAAGTCATGTGACCGTGCTGTAGTTCCTTTATAGCCCAACATTAGCCACCTTTAGCTTAGCGGCGGTGACGTGAAGTCATGTGACCGTGCTGTAGTTCCTTTATAGCCCAACATTAGCCACCTTTAGCTTAGCGGCGGTGACGTGAAGTCATGTGACCGTGCTGTAGTTCCTTTATAGCCCAACATTAGCCACCTTTAGCTTAGCGGCGGTGACGTGAAGTCATGTGACCGTGCTGTAGTTCCTTTATAGCCCAACATTAGCCACCTTTAGCTTAGTGGCGGTGACGTGAAGTCATGTGACCGTGCTGTAGTTCCTTTATAGCCCAACATTAGCCACCTTTAGCTTAGTGGCGGTGACGTGAAGTCATGTGACCGTGCTGTAGTTCCTTTATAGCCCAACATTAGCCACCTTTAGCTTAGCGGCGGTGACGTGAAGTCATGTGACCGTGCTGTAGTTCCTTTATAGCCCAACATTAGCCACCTTTAGCTTAGTGGTGGTGACGTGAAGTCATGTGACCGTGCTGTAGTTCCTTTACAGCCCAACATTAGCCACCTTTAGCTTTGCGGTGGTGACGTGAAGTCATGTGACCGTGCTGTAGTTCCTTTATAGCCCAACATTAGCCACCTTTAGCTTTGCGGCGGTGACGTGAAGTCATGTGACCGTGCTGTAGTTCCTTTACAGCCCAACATTAGCCACCTTTAGCTTAGCGGTGGTGACGTGAAGTCATGTGACCGTGCTGTAGTTCCTTTACAGCCCAACATTAGCCACCTTTAGCTTAGCGGTGGTGACGTGAAGTCATGTGACCGTGCTGTAGTTCCTTTACAGCCCAACATTAGCCTCCTTTAGCTTAGCGGTGGTGACGTGAAGTCATGTGACCGTGCTGTAGTTCCTTTATAGCCCAACATTAGCCACCTTTAGCTTAGCGGTGGTGACGTGAAGTCATGTGACCGTGCTGTAGTTCCTGTATAGCATTACGTTAGCTTTTTACTTCAGAAATCATAACGTGGTGTTAATGTGTGGAGATTATCCTGCTGAACTAAACATTTAAGTATCATAAACGTTGATATTATTTTCTGACATTATCCAATACACATGGAGGAATCCCATTGGACCAGGGAGATGCTGCCTTCAGGGACCAACACAGAACTACACTTTGTCTCTGAATGTAACTGACCGGTGCCAGGACGTCTCCGGCGTAGCGTTTCAGAGGTGGAGGGCGGCGGCGCCGGTGAGGTGGAGGTCGTCTCCGTAACTCTTTGAATTTGTGCTTCTTCACGTGTTTCTTCTGTTTTTTGTATGCAGCTGGAAAGCATTGAAAGGGGAGATACAAATAAAGTGTAAGTATGACATCAGATAACTTTTTGAGCTGAACATCAGCAGGAGAGGACTCTTTAAAGTAGAGACACTACATACTGATATACACCTGAACATCAGCAGGAGAGGACTCTTTAAAGTAGAGACACTACATACTGATATACACCTGAACATCAGCAGCAGAGGACTCTTTAAAGTAGAGACACTACATACTGATATACACCTGAACATCAGCAGGAGAGGACTCTTTAAAGTAGAGACAATACATACTGATATACACCTGGACATCAGCAGGAGAGGACTCTTTAAAGTAGAGACACTACATACTGATATACACCTGAACATCAGCAGGAGAGGACTCTTTAAAGTAGAGACACTACATACTGATATACACCTGAACATCAGCAGGAGAGGACTCTTTAAAGCAGAGACACTACATACTGATATACACCTGGACATCAGCAGGAGAGGACTCTTTAAAGTAGAGACACTACATACTGATATACACCTGAACATCAGCAGCAGAGGACTCTTTAAAGTAGAGACACTACATACTGATATACACCTGAACATCAGCAGGAGAGGACTCTTTAAAGTAGAGACACTACATACTGATATACACCTGGACATCAGCAGGAGAGGACTCTTTAAAGTAGAGACACTACATACTGATATACACCTGAACATCAGCAGGAGAGGACTCTTTAAAGTAGAGACACTACATACTGATATACACCTGAACATCAGCAGGAGAGGACTCTTTAAAGTAGAGACACTACATACTGATATACACCTGAACATCAGCAGCAGAGGACTCTTTAAAGTAGAGACACTACATACTGATATACACCTGAACATCAGCAGGAGAGGACTCTTTAAAGTAGAGAAACTACATACTGATATACACCTGAACATCAGCACGAGAGGACTCTTTAAAGTAGAGACACTACATACTGATATACACCTGAACATCAGCAGGAGAGGACTCTTTAAAGTAGAGGCACTACATACTGATATACACCTGAACATCAGCAGGAGAGGACTCTTTAAAGTAGAGACACTACATACTGACATACACCTGAACATCAGCAGGAGAGGACTCTTTAAAGTAGAGGCACTACATACTGATATACACCTGAACATCAGCAGGAGAGGACTCTTTAAAGTAGAGACACTACATACTGATATACACCTGAACATCAGCAGGAGAGGACTCTTTAAAGTAGAGACACTACATACTGATATACACCTGAACATCAGCAGCAGAGGACTCTTTAAAGTAGAGACACTACATACTGATATACACCTGAACATCAGCAGGAGAGGACTCTTTAAAGTAGAGACACTACATACTGATATACACCTGAACATCAGCAGCAGAGGACTCTTTAAAGTAGAGACACTACATACTGATATACACCTGAACATCAGCAGGAGAGGACTCTTTAAAGTAGAGACACTACATACTGATATACACCTGGACATCAGCAGGAGAGGACTCTTTAAAGTAGAGATACTACATACTGATATACACCTGAACATCAGCAGGAGAGGACTCTTTAAAGTAGAGACACTACATACTGATATACACCTGAACATCAGCAGGAGAGGACTCTTTAAAGTAGAGACACTACATACTGATATACACCTGGACATCAGCAGGAGAGGACTCTTTAAAGTAGAGACACTACATACTGATATACACCTGAACATCAGCAGCAGAGGACTCTTTAAAGTAGAGACACTACATACTGATATCCACCTGAACATCAGCAGGAGAGGACTCTTTAAAGTAGAGACACTACATACTGATATACACCTGGACATCAGCAGGAGAGGACTCTTTAAAGAAGAGACACTACATACTGATATACACCTGAACATCAGCAGGAGAGGACTCTTTAAAGTAGAGAAACTACATACTGATATACACCTGAACATCAGCACGAGAGGACTCTTTAAAGTAGAGACACTACATACTGATATACACCTGAACATCAGCAGGAGAGGACTCTTTAAAGTAGAGACACTACATACTGATATACACCTGAACATCAGCAGGAGATGACTCTTTAAAGTAGAGACACTACATACTGATATACACCTGAACATCAGCAGGAGAGGACTCTTTAAAGTAGAGACACGACATACTGATATACACCTGAACATCAGCAGCAGAGGACTCTTTAAAGTAGAGACACTACATACTGATATACACCTGAACATCAGCAGGAGAGGACTCTTTAAAGTAGAGACACTACATACTGATATACACCTGAACATCAGCAGGAGAGGACTCTTTAAAGTAGAGACACTACATACTGATATACACCTGAACATCAGCAGGAGAGGACTCTTTAAAGTAGAGACACTACATACTGATATACACCTGAACATCAGCAGGAGAGGAACTCACCTTCTTTGTGTGAAAATCCTCTGGCTGTGAACCTCCACTGCACGGCTCCACCAATCAAAGCGAGGATTGGCCCCAGCCCAGCGATGCCCCAGTTGAACCAGCAGAGGGGTTTAACTGGGTTCCCTGTGAACACGTCAAACAGCTGATCCAGCAGTGTGGCCCCTCCCAGGAGGAGGTCCAGGCTCAGCAGCACGACGGCGGATCCCAACACCGACGTGTAGGCGATGATCAGGACCTTCTGCCAGCGAAGAGTCATCAGGGCAACGATCAGGCCTGAAGCCAGCACCACGCTCAGGGGGCCCAAGACTGGCCCCAGGCTGTGGAAATGAGCGAGCAGCATCAGGGGCCCCACGGAGAGCAGGGCCCCCAGCTGCAGGCCGCTGAGAAGGAGCCCCAGCGGAGGCACCAGGAGGGCCATCAGCCCCGTGAGGAGCCCGATCCCCAGCCCCAGAACCAGCCTGGTCCCTGGGCAGAGGTCGGCCATCAGAGGAGGGTCCAGGTGGAGCAGCGGGAGAGAGACGGAGCCACACAGGAAGCCACAGAGGAACATGGCTGCCTTAAAGCAGCGGTATCCTGAGGAGGGGGGGAATAAAAATGTGTTTATTTCTGTCACTTTATCTGTGTGTTTTTAAAACCAGCATCATAAAAAGCCTCCCCGGGGGACAGCGTGTCACCAGGGATTTTCTCTTATGGCGCATTTCCACTACAGGGCCTCGCTCGGCTTAGTACGATATAGTTAGGCCTTGTTAGGCCAGGCTCACTTCATGCTGCGTTTCCATTACAGTTTAGGAGCTGGGGTAGTATCTATAGTAACGCAGTGTAGGCGGAGCCATGACGTCATCTTCAATGCGAACCACAGAAAACCAACAGCAGCCGTTAGCTGTTAGCACTCAGAGCTCACAGCTCCTCATATATGTTCAGAAACTAGACAAAAGTTAAACAAGTACAAACCACAGACTGCCTGTGTCATGGTGAATACAGTCGCTGCTTTATTTATGTCTGTATAGGCCGTTGTTGTGAGTGTGGACGGTCGGAGCATATACTGCGTTAGCTTAGCCAATCTCCATTCAGAAAACACGCATTTTAAAACGTTTTTCGCCTGCCGTCTGTCTGCAGACTTGACAAAGCATTAATTCATGATTTGTACTAACCGGTATCAGTATGTTGTTACTTCGGCATCATTTTGAAACGTGTATTACAATTAAACCACGGTCAAATATGTTCCTTTTGTTGTAGTTGTAGCCCCCTTGCCGTCACTAGTTTAGCATATTCAGCCCGGTTGTTGGCCCGGTAAGAACCTCGATTTTGGAGGGCCAGAAAAAAGGTGAAAAAGTAGCCCTGAGCCGGAACTAGCCCTAGTGGAAAAGCAAAAAAAAGCGGGCCGGGTTTGGCACGGCACGCTTAAACCGTGCTACGCACTGCAGTGGAAATGCGCCATAAGTGATGCGTCCTTCGAACAGAAGAGCAAAGGAAGTGGTTTCAGTACATTTCATAATCTACCTTAATTTTGTTCTAATCCTCTACAAAGGGATTTAAAGGACTGATTTTGCTGTGGAAGTGAATTGTAAGAGGAGGCCTCAGTGATTTATACATGATAAATATACATAGGAAATGAGTTTATTTCTGTCACTTTATCTGTGTAATTTTACTGTATATTGTATAGTAGGTTACAATTTGCACATTATTAACATATGTTTTATATGATTTGTTAAAATATTTTTGTTGCACTTACTTCTTACTTATAGAAGAATATTTATAGAAAATATCTTTCTAATATCAATACATTTTTTGGACATCTTACTTTGACTGTCTTTCAGAATTTACCTTTTCTCAGAATTACTTTTTTTTTACGCAGAACTTTATTATCACTTTTTTCGCAATTGTTTCTTCTATTTTCTCAGATTTTTGACTTCTTTCCGAATTAAGACTTTTTTCCTAGAACACATCTTTTTGGATGCCACAGAGGAAGATGGCCGCCTTAAAGCAGCTGTATCCTGAGGAGAGGGGGGGGGGGGATGAGTTTATGATTTCTGACTTTTCTATTCATAGATTTTCCTTTTTCTTTTTGACTTTTTTTCTCAAAAGTAACAATTTTTCCAAATGATGACTTTTTTCCTAGAACTTCTTTTTTTTGATTATTTCTTTTTTATGAAAATGTTTTCTCGACTTTTTAAACTTTTTTCTCAGAATTTCTTTTATATCAGATTTCTGACTTTACTCAGAATTTTGATCTTTTTTCTTCTTAAAAAGTTGTATTATTTTTTTTATAATAAATTATTATTTGAATTGTATGATTTACTTTAATATTTGTTTATAATAATGGTTACTATTATTAGTATTTATAATTTTTGTAAAACTATAATAAGGGCTGTCAAATGAGTTCAAAATGAACAATTAATGCTTATAAAATGTGTATATATTCAATAATAACCATAGTATTGTTACCTATGAGCAGGTATACAAGTCCTGCAGAGATGCCGGCGGAGCAGAGGATCATGGGTAAGACTTCCTGCTTGATGTTATCCTGCAGATAACACATGTGGCCCCCAGCAGCGAGGGCCCCGGGCTCCTGGGGGATATACAGCCAGGCGGCCATCTTTAGAGGATTATTATTATCTCCTGTTTGGTCGCTCTGTGTTCATCAGAGGGTTAAAGTGGGATGTCCTGCAGGCGGAGGAACTGAGCTGCTTCCTGCTGTGCACCTGCAGAGAGAGGAGGCGTATTAAGGGCTTTAGAAATACTGCAGTGCAGAAATACTCTCCAACAGTTTAAAGTCCTGCAAATATCTGTTAAGTCATTATCTATCACAGTGGCGAGCCGTGAGCTTTATACCTAGGCCCTCTGACCCCCACCCCTTCCCTCGAAAAAAAGAAAAAAAAAGAGTTATTACGTCACAGCGTATACTTCAGCGGAATATCAAAACAACGGCCCAGGGTGCAAAACGCATCAATGACAGCGACCCTCTACCACACAAAACAACACCTGTGAACCCCATTTGTGTTCTTTGACATTGAAAATGATATTGCATTGTGTTTGTTACTTTCGTTGCAGTTGTATGTCTTAAGTGTAATTTGGCATGCTTTTATTTTGAAGGCGAGTTCACGCTGTTGACAGGAAGTTGTTGTTGCTATGGAAACAAGAAAAGTTTCACAGCGGGCGGAACTTGTCATCTAGTCCGCGATAATAAAACCCACCCATTTAGAGGGAAGATATGATTGGTCAATTGTACTGTCATTTGACATTACTCTCTCGTTCAGTTACTATAGCGGGCCCTCTGTGAATCGCAGAGAGGGCCAGACGAGCTTCTTTCATGTAACCCACATTCAAACAGAGACTGAACAGGCAGATTCGAAGGATTTATTTATTTGGAAATGTTATTTTATTAAATCAAGTTTTTTTTCGGTAAAACTAATGAAAAATATAACAAAAATAATATTAAAAAAATATATATTTAAAAAATATATATATTTTTTTAATGTTTTTAAATATTATTTTTTGGAATATCTTAGGCCCTCACAGAGGGCCTAGAGGGCCCTGACGGCTCGCCACTGATCTATCAAAACTGATTGAGCCTATACTGATGAACATTGTATTTCTACACTGTATTTCTATGTATTTCTATATCTGCAGTATTACACAGTGTCTCTGGATTACTGAGAAACAGACTGTATAACGGCATGGTCTCACGTTTACAAGCAATCCCTTTTCGTCAATTTGCATGTTTGCATCAGATCTAGTTCAACTACAAAAACTTGCAGGAGAATATTGTGTAAATGTGGCGGTGCAATTATTTTATTTTTAAATGTATAGACTTAAAAAAATAACCTTTCTCAAAACCTAAAGCTCATATGTAAACAACAGACTCCTGGCTGCTAAACAATAACTAATACCTAAACCTCATTTATACTCAATTGGAAATGATAAATCAACTGGGAAAAGTAGAAAAGTATGAGCATAAAAAAGTACCAAAACATTCAAGCATGTCAACAGTAGAGCCAGGATAACTACAAGTACCTTAGAAATATTGTGAAATTGAAATACTTTAAAAAGGTTTAATTGGTCAAATTGGCTTCCGGTTGAGAAACGTCTGCAATCTCGTGTTATCACTTTTCTCAGAAATGTCCAATTTAGCAAAAAAACACTATATTTTTATGATCAAATAGTTTACACAAGAGACGAGCATGACCATAGACTAGACAAGCTACATCAGGCTATCTCCAGTCTAGCACCAGGAGTCTAGTACCAGGAGTCTAGCTCCAGGAGTCTAGTACCAGGAGTCTAGCGCCAGGAGTCTAGTACCAGGAGTCTAGCAGGAGTCTAGTACCAGGAGTCTAGCGCCAGGAGTCTAGTACCAGGAGTCTAGCTCCAGGAGTCTAGTACCAGGAGTCTAGCGCCAGGAGTCTAGCGCCAGGAGTCTAGTACTAGGAGTCTAGCACCAGGAGTCTAGCACCAGGAGTCTAGTACCAGGAGTCTAGAACCAGGAGTCTAGCGCCAGGAGTCTAGTACCAGGAGTTTAGCTCCAGGAGTCTAGTACCAGGAGTCTAGCGCCAGGAGTCTAGTACCAGGAGTCTAGCGCCAGGAATCTAGTACCAGGAGTCTAGCTCCAGGAGTCTAGTACCAGGAGTCTAGTACCAGGAGTCTAGTACCAGGAGTCTAGCTCCAGGAGTCTAGTACCAGGAGTCTAGCGCCAGGAGTCTAGCACCAGGAGTCTAGCACCAGGAGTCTAGTACCAGGAGACTAGCACCAGGAGTCTAGCACCAGGAGTCTAGTACCAGGAGTCTAGTACCAGGAGTCTAGTACCAGGAGTCTAGTACCAGGAGTCTAGCGCCAGGAGTCTAGCACCAGGAGTCTAGTACCAGGAGTCTAGCTCCAGGAGTCTAGTACCAGGAGACTAGCACCAGGAGTCTAGCACCAGGAGTCTAGTACCAGGAGTCTAGTACCAGGAGACTAGCACCAGGAGTCTAGTACCAGGCGTCTAGCGCCAGGAGTCTAGTACCAGGAGTCTAGCTCCAGGAGTCTAGTACCAGGAGTCTAGTACCAGGAGTCTAGTACCAGGAGTCTAGCTCCAGGAGTCTAGTACCAGGAGTCTAGCTCCAGGAGTCTAGTACCAGGAGTCTAGCGCCAGGAGTCTAGCACCAGGAGTCTAGTACCAGGAGTCTAGTACCAGGAGACTAGCACCAGGAGTCTAGTACCAGGCGTCTAGCGCCAGGAGTCTAGTACCAGGAGTCTAGCTCCAGGAGTCTAGTACCAGGAGTCTAGTACCAGGAGTCTAGTACCAGGAGTCTAGCTCCAGGAGTCTAGCACCAGGAGTCTAGCACCAGGAGTCTAGTACCAGGAGTCTAGCTCCAGGAGTCTAGTACCAGGAGTCTAGCGCCAGGAGTCTAGCACCAGGAGTCTAGTACCAGGAGTCTAGCTCCAGGAGTCTAGTACCAGGAGACTAGCACCAGGAGTCTAGCACCAGGAGTCTAGTACCAGGAGTCTAGTACCAGGAGACTAGTACCAGGAGTCTAGCTCCAGGAGTCTAGTACCAGGAGTCTAGCTCCAGGACTCTAGTACCAGGAGTCTAGTACCAGGAGTCTAGTACCAGGAGTCTAGCGCCAGGAGTCTAGCACCAGGAGTCTAGTACCAGGAGACTAGCACCAGGAGTCTAGTACCAGGCGTCTAGCGCCAGGAGTCTAGTACCAGGAGTCTAGCTCCAGGAGTCTAGTACCAGGAGTCTAGTACCAGGAGTCTAGTACCAGGAGTCTAGTACCAGGAGTCTAGCGCCAGGAGTCTAGCACCAGGAGTCTAGTACCAGGAGACTAGCACCAGGAGTCTAGTACCAGGCGTCTAGCGCCAGGAGTCTAGTACCAGGAGTCTAGCTCCAGGACTCTAGTACCAGGAGTCTAGTACCAGGAGTCTAGTACCAGGAGTCTAGCGCCAGGAGTCTAGCACCAGGAGTCTAGTACCAGGAGACTAGCACCAGGAGTCTAGTACCAGGCGTCTAGCGCCAGGAGTCTAGTACCAGGAGTCTAGCTCCAGGAGTCTAGTACCAGGAGTCTAGTACCAGGAGACTAGAACCAGGCGTCTAGCGCCAGGAGTCTAGTACCAGGAGTCTAGCTCCAGGAGTCTAGCACCAGGAGTCTAGTACCAGGAGTCTAGCTCCAGGAGTCTAGCACCAGGAGTCTAGTACCAGGAGTCTAGTACCAGGAGTCTAGCACCAGGAGTCTAGCACCAGGAGTCTAGTACCAGGAGTCTAGCACCAGGAGACTAGCACCAGGAGTCTAGCTCCAGGAGTCTAGCACCAGGAGTCTAGTCCGGTGCCTTGCTCAAGGGCACCACGACAGGGCCCAGGAGGTGAACTGGGACCTCTCCAAGTAGCAGTCCACACTCCATGTTTAGGTCTGGTCGGGGACTTGAACCGGCGACCCTACGGCTCCCAGCCCAAGCCCCTACTGACTGAGCCACTGCCGGTAAAGCTAATGAAGCTAATGGGGATCCTACATAAACATAAACATAAATATTAATGTAGGTACATAAAGTAAAATAAATCCAAAGCTTTTAGAATGATGACGAAAAAATAATTGCTCTCCTTAAAAATGATACCTTAGTCACTTTCCTCCACTGGTTTGCATCATGTAGAAAACTGTATAAATATATATTTGAACCTGAGTGAAACAGTGACGTGTTTACCTGCAGGTCTAACCTCTCAGCAGATGGACTTAAAGCAGATTTAAGTCCATCTGCTCTCTGAAAAACACAAACACACTTTCTGACACCTTCACACATATCACTGCTAATATCATCAAATACTTCTTACTGGAATGACTCAAATACCACTTTCTCTGCAAAGTGCACGTACCAAATTAAAGAATTTCCCCGCTAAACATGCAATAAACACAGATGGAGTGTGAGAGTAATGAAGTGTGTGAGGGTTACCTGCAGTGAGGCATGTCTTCACAGACAGGAAGTGAGCGTCTTCAGGTAAACAAGTGTTTTCCAGCAGGATCTGCTGCTCCTCGGTCCGGCTCTCTCACCATCTGCTGCCAAGTCCAAGGCCGACCTGCTGCTCCACTACCCATGATGCACCTGGAGCTGCATCATCCCGTCAGAGCTTTGTCTTTAACACGTCGCCTTTAATTAGGCTTTAAGTTGGCTGGAGGTAAACGGATATAAGACCCCGTTTTAACCCCTCAAATCCCTTCTGGGACTTTCCTGAAGATCCTTTATTTTTGTTTTCCACCAGCAGCTTATGATGCCACGGCAAACACTGATTTTAATATGTTATGTTATGTATAAATGTATTCTTTCTATTTCTGGTCTGAAATGTGCTTTATTTGACTTTTTCAATGTTCATTCTGTCCATTTACTGTTTCTAAATGACTTCGTGCTGCATTGCTTGAATGTAAGGTGCTTCACAAATAGAGTCATTTAATTTATATAAATATAATGTTTTAACCTTGTTAAATCATGGGTCAATTTTGACCCATGATTTATCTCAGTCCAAAACACTCAAAAATAATTACTATCATCCAATATTGTTTTAACTACATCATAACTAACTTATAATGCATTCATAGCCGTACAATCCTGTTGTAATTTAATGTTATGGCCCCA